GTCACATTGCAGGGAGGCTATGCTTTTACTGCGTAGCATAAAGGAGTAATAATTTACTAAATATTGTATATGTCTTACTTTAGATATGGAAGAACCTGTAATATATGGATGTCTGACTGACGATGTTACAATTAATACAACTAGTGGACAACCAACAGCTGAATATACCTGGCCTAAAGTTAATGCATCAGACAACTCTGGTTCTGTAACACTATATGGTCCTGTCCCAACTGGTAACACCTTTAATATTGGTGCAAATATGGTTTCATATTTAGCAACTGATGATTCAAATAATTTCAAGGCGTGTATGTTCACTGTTACTGTCACAGGTAAGTATTATGCTTATGACAGCGCTCTAATATTTTCTCATGACAATCCAAGAATAATCAAGGAAAAGTTGGGGCCAAACTTGAAGCTTGTAACAATTGGCTTTTGGATAACACTCTTTCACTCCATTCTCTTTGGTACACTAGTTAATGAGTTTTCAATTAAATGTAATGGCCAAATAATCCATTATCCTGGCATTAATATCTGTATATGATGTTCAAGGTAACTCAAAAATTTATTTTTGATAAATGAATATTTTCATAACTTTTGGTTTGTTTTTTTAAAATAATTATTTGTGTACTGTTTTCTGAATTTGTGGTCTTAATAATTTTTAATGACATTTTTTGCTATTGTATTTTTGTATTTTGATATATTTTTGTACTTCTGTATATTTTAATGAAATGAAATGAAAATTGTACTACTAAAATTAAAAATGTTGTAAAATGTATTTACTTTGGTAAACAAAGTTACAAATGACAATATTATTACATCCATGTAATTTAAAAACTAGAAGTGAACTCTTGCATGTCAACCCTTGCTTACATTATATAATTTTTAAGAAATCTTGAGAGCTTTAATATTTTCTTCTGCGTAATATCATCAGTGTTTTAATACTTTAGATGTGGAAGCACCAGTTATTGAAAACTGTCCAGGACATATAATTGAGTTTGCTAAAGACGGTGGCTATGCTAATGTATCGTGGGTAGAACCTATTGCATCAGACAATTCAATGGCAGTTACTTTAGTGCCTGATAAAAGTATTGGCAGTTCATTTCAAGTCGGATCCACAATTGTAACTTACACTGCTTCAGATAAATCGGGAAACCAAGCAATGTGTACAATAAATGTTACAGTTTTTGGTATGTATCATAAATTATATCTTTTTCCAAAGCAATTTGCTTTAGTTTTTGATATTAGTGTAGGTATGCTTACATGTGTGTGCATTGTATGCACATGTGCTGGCACGTATACATAGAATTATTGAGTAAAATGAAAGATATTTCAAGCTTGAAATATATCGATCAATAACAGTTTTCTGTTATCGGTATATGCTTAACTTTTTAAGAGTTAGAACACAGATATTATAGCGGCGTAGGTTAGCTATTAGGATATGTTAATTTATATACTACATGTATAGGTCATAGGCATCTGATTGGTTGTGACGTTTTACTACTGCAGCTGCGTACACATACTAAATACTAATCCTGCTAAAGAGGACATGCAGAAAACATGCAATCTAGCCATTTTTTTTTAACTGGACCGCAACGAACACCAGTGCCTTTGCATTGAGTGTGCCATCCAGTAAAAAGAAAGTTTAATAAATAAATAAATAAAATGTTTATTATATTGCATATTTTTGTCTTGACTAATTTAAATATTCCTGTTATTGACCTGTATAAAATATATATATTTATATATAAGTTAATTTTTTGACTTTTATGTTCACTCTCTTTTCACATTGGTGTTTGTCGAACCACCACGATGGAAATAAGTTTGCCTTTTTTGATAATTTATTGTTTTTTCCATGAATGTTATTTTGTATCCAGAATAAAGAAATAGAACTAAAAATTGTTTATTCAATCTCACTGCCACCTTACCTCTAGCCCTACCTCACCTAATCTATACTTTCTAACCATTTTAGCCTTACTTTTCACTATATATTATCTGGCTTTGAAATCTTAAGAAATCAAAACAAAATTTGAGTGTCTGCTTAAGAATAAAATATTTATTATACAAGTATTTTCGACCATAGGTCTTCACCAGGTACTGGTTGCAGGTGCAAATACCACCCTTTTTTCATACAGCTGAATAAAGGAATTATGGTTGATTGTAATGACTTAATCCAAGCTGTAATTAAAATTCTTAAGCCATGTCCAAACTAACAAATTTTCTTTGTCAAAAAGCTGTAGTATGCCCATATATAGTCATGATGTGCCTATATGCGATCATGATGTGATGTCATCATGACCGTATTTAGGCATGTCACATGTTTTTGTCACATAAAATTTTATAGTGTGGACAGAGTGTAAGTCATAGGCAATACATTTTATCTATTTAGATTGTGACATTAAACTACTTAGTAACAAAATATCTAATTTGATATGTGGACAGAGTGTAATTCATAGGCAATACATTTTATCTATTTAGATTGTGACATTAAACTACTTAGTAACAAAATATCTAATTTGATAGTGTGGACAGAGTGTAATTCATAGGCAATACCTTTTATCTATTTAGATTGTGACATTAAACTACTTAGTAACAAAATATCTAATTTGATAGTGTTGACAGAGTGTAATTCATAGGCAATACATTTTATCTATTTAGATTGTGACATTAAACTACTTAGTAACAAAATATCTAATTTGATAGTGTGGACAGAGTGTAATTCATAGGCAATACATTTTATCTATTTAGATTGTGACATTAAACTACTTAGTAACAAAATATCTAATTTTATAGTGTGGACAGAGTGTAATTCATAGGCAATACATTTTATCTATTTAGATTGTGACATTAAACTACTTAGTAACAAAATATCTAATTTGATAGTGTGGACAGAGTGTAATTCATAGGCAATACATTTTATCTATTTAGATTGTGACATTAAACTACAGTAACAAAATATCTAATTTGATAGTGTGGACAGAGTGTAAGTCATAGGCAATACATTTTATCTATTTAGATTGTGACATTAAACTACTTAGTAACAAAATATCTAATTTGATAGTGTGGA